GTGTCATTGGCAGTCCTGATCAGAGAGAGAAACAGATGGGCTGAGGTACTGGTTTGGGCTGGGATAGAGTTCATTTTCTTCATAGTAGCTCATACGGTGCTGGGTTTTGGATCTGTGACCCAAACAGTGTTGATATCGCAGGGATGTTTTAGCTATCACTGGGCAGTGCTCACACAGCGCCAAGGCCTTTTCTGCTCCTCACCCTGCCTGACCAGTGAGTGGGCCGGGGGTGCACAAGAGGATGGGAGAGGACACACAGCATAGCTGACCCCAACCCACCAAAGGGATATTCCATACCATATGACGTCATGCTCAGCAATAAAAGCTAGAGGAAGAAGAACGAAGAGGGGATGTTTGGAGTTATGGCGTTTGTCTTCCCAAATAATCTTTTCACGTGAAAGAGCCCTGCTGTCCTGGGGGTGGCTGAATACCTGCCTACCGATGGGGAGTGGCGAATGAATTCCTTGTTTTGCTTTGCTTGCACACATGGCTTTTACTTTCCTGATTAAACTGTCTTTACCTCAACCCATGAGTTTTTGCACTTTTACCCTTACGATTCTCTGCCTAAACCACCAGGGAGAGGAGCAAGCCAGTGCCTGGGGGGCTGAGCTGCCCATCAGGGTTAACCTGCGACAGCAAAGATGAAAATGGGCCAAGGACCATGGGATGAGGAAACCTAGAAAAGTCTGAGAGGCACAAGCTGAGCCTTATAAGGGTAGAGAATAAAATGGAGAGGAATGGAGGTGGCAGGACAGGCAGAGGACAGGAGGTACAGGGTCATGGTTACAGTGGATGGGTGGAAGAGCCCAGGACCATTAAAGCCCAGCCTCCTGCAGAGCCCTGAGCTGCTCCCGCAGTCCCTGAATACACCTCTCCTCTGCAAACCCGCGGGCAAAGCACTCCCTCCCCATTTCAGGTTGGCTGAGGAAGATCTTTGCTTGCAGTCTCCCTGTTACCTTGAGAGGTCACGGTCCGTGCCGAACCCAAAGGCAGCAGCTCGGATGGTGACTCACAGGGGTGTCACCACGATGCCACACAACAGAGTTTCCTGTGCCGGGAGTGTAGTTGTGCTTTCACTCCCGCAGCAGTGAATTACAGGATTGAAGCAGCAGTGAAAGCAGTTATGCCTCAAAGTTAGGAAGTGTCAGAATTTAGTTTCTTTGGCACTTTTATTCCCCTGCTTCCCTTCCATCCCCCTATTTTGTGGTCCTAGCGTGAAATCACCCTGTTTATTTTAGCTCCTTCTCTTCCCTGCCACAAGCGGAGCTGCTCTGGGCACGAATCAACATGGTGCAATGAACCAAATGCTGCATAGGTGGTCTCTTTTCTCGTGTTGCAGAAGTTAGGCAATGCGTAGTGAACGATATAGGGGCTAGAAGAAGAGAAAAGCTGACATGCTGGATGAGGCAGGCTGTTGCTGCACTGGAAAACAAGCACTCGTGGGCTCTGTGTGTTCTTGTGTGGGGTGGGTCGACCACTTGGACTCAGCTGTATACAGGTGGCCGCTTCCTCTAAGCATGCTGGTTGACAAGGGCCTGACCCAGAGACTTAGGCTGATTTTCAGACACAAATGACACAGTTACCAATGAGGTCCCTTTGTACCACACATAAGGCATGATTATGCTTCTGAAAAATGAAAATGTCTCAGACTGAGCTCTCAGAAATACTGCCTTCGACTTCAGTGACCGTACCTCAGCTCTTTCTGTCTGATGACGATAAAGTATGTCCTGACTCCACTGCATGTCCTAAAAAGAAAGCAGTATTTGTGAAGCACTCAGATACTGAAGTGCCACAGGAAAAATTGAAGAAACTAGTAATTCTGTGTTTGGAACAAGAGCTGGGTAGTGGGTAGCGACTAGGGTATGGAATAATGCGTACAAAAAAGAAAGATGCAATGAAATATTTAATACACTGATGCAAAGATGCTGTGGGCCATACAGTATGAGACAAGATACTGCCACAATGTTTTGCAATCACATTTGCAATAGGCCAAACTGGAGTTTCATGGATAACCTTAATTGCATATTTTTTGTGTGTGTGCTTACTTTTGTAGCCCTAAGACCATTCCTTGGCCATAATATTTACCATGTGTGCAAGAATAATAACCTGAGCTAGTGAAGAACTACTTACTTTCCTCTACAAGTTAATTTGATGTGAAATAAATCAGCAAGGCAATTTTCACAATTTAGCTATGCTTTTGTAACTGTGCTGTAGAGCAAGGTATCTTCTTTGGTAGTGAATAGATGTTCTACTTGTTGACTTGATTTACGGATCGAACCTACTTTAATTCAGCTACGTAGGGTGGACAGCATCATGTGCACCAATTAATTGTCAGGGCATCTGGTATACGTGTGTTGGAATTTTTACTCTGTTAATATCTAAAAAAACAAATAAGTTATTAGAAAATATCCTTCAAATTTTATGCCAAAATCCATGAGCAACTGGTTTTTTTGATGATGTTGCACACAGATTCCTAGGGAGCTAAATACTCCGGGTTAAAATATTTTACTTTAAAAAAGGGATCCAGTAAAAATGTACCTGAAATCATGGTTATATTTTGTCTCCTACCAGAATATCTGGAGGAAATAATTCTTTTTCATGTATTTGTAAAGAAAGCTCAGAATAAGCAGAGCACGTTTGGCAAGTTCTGGACTGCAGCAGGCTTACAACAAACTTTTCCAGGTTGTATATTTTCAGGTATATGTAGCGTTAGCATGGGGAGGCTTTGGGGGTCGGGTGAGGAAAAGCAGACAAACTGAGTGACAGCACTGCTGCTAGAAAAACTTTATGCCCAGGGAGCTCATAATCAAATATTTATAGCTTTATGGGCAACAAATACTCCGTGAGACAAGACTACAAAGCCTTCCCATGCTCAGGTATTCTTTTTGCTCTCACCCTATCTGTTTTTTCACCGTATCCTTTTTCAGAATACTTACTACGCTGTCAGCATTGTTATCGCCGACCCCACTGCAAACTAGTAAAATGAGGAATACTATTTAATGCCTTTTTAGGGATTTCTCAGTTGATCCAGTTGGTTCCTACTCAAATATTGTGTTCATTTTAAATGGTGCAACTGGTAGGGCAACCAGGACTTTTGTTCGAGTATCTGTTTTTCAAATACATCATATTTAGAGATCTAGAAATAAATAAAAAAAAATCAGAAAACATTTTCATTCATTTTTAGGTGACAAGCCCAGTTTTCATACTGTACTTCAACCACTAATTTTCTTGGATGTTTTTGCCAGGAGAAGGCTGCACTATGAATAATTCTTTCAGTATTTCTGCAGATGCTGACTTCTGAGGCAAGTGAAATGAAAGCGGCTCTTCGGAGATCTGTACGAGATGTTCCAGTCAATGAAGCTTCTATGAAAGATCAGAAGAAGTCACCACATACAAGGCTGCAGTACTAATTGACAGCTACAGCCAGCTTTGTCCAAAACCTACAGAGATGCTGGAAAGGACAGCTTGCAGCCTCTTTACTAGGGTCTCTGGTGGCAACACTGGGAGACCAGCTTCTCACCGATGTTTCTGTAACATTGCTGTACAGTGCTGGTGTCACTCAGCATCTCAGATTCCAGAGGGATCTGGGAGATATTTAACCCCGTGCTACAATACACTCCTTTTTTCTGTACCAAATGTTTTTTTTTTTCTCCTGGAGTTTAGTAGTTTGATGGCCAAAAGGGCCGTACCGTGCCCTGAAGCATGCTCTTGCCTCTGCAGAGCAAAGCACTACACCGGCAAGTAAGAAGAGGGTCCTTGGAGCTACAGGGAGGAAAGCACAACAGGTTGGGCTGGTCTGCTCCTGCCATCACCAGTAGGACAGAGAGCAACACAAGCGCTCATTTATTGCCAGATATTAGCTGTGCTTAATTATTCATGGTACTATAAGAGATTCTCTTCACATCTAGCTATGAGCTAGATCTGTCATTTACTGGGATATTTGGCCACTTCAGTTCAAAACTGGATTTATTAATATCAAACACAAACCAAATTATCGACTATTAGAAATACTCTCTGAATGCCTCCCTAGGACACTCACTGAGAGGGATTCTTAGAAAATATAAAAGATCAACCCTTTAAGTACTTGGGCCTTCACACCAATTTTGTGGCAAATAACATCAGGAATCCTTGGACCTCCAAATCCATACGCAATTCATCATCTACTTGAAAATCCTGTATTTGGATTTTTAAAAAAGCCACCCTTTAATATTTAGGAATTGCAATGCTGTTCTGTAAAAATCCCCACACAACTTTATATGTATTTGTCTTACTTATTCTAAAGGTCTACCCGCTCTGTTTGCAAGTATACCACTTGCTTTCCTAAATGTCAGTCAGGACAAACATGGCATCAGCCTTCATCACTTATCTTCACTTGACGGCTAGACGTCTGTGGTCAGATGACACGCCATGGTCCTACCACAGTCCCTTCTGTCAGATTTCACTTAATCATTAAATCCTAAAAACAAACCAAAAACCCCCACCAAACAAAAGAAAACCCCCCCTAATTGGATTCCAGTAAGACAAGTCTTCCAGTTAGTTTTGTGGTAGGGGAAAAGCAAGCTGTTATTAACCCTGTTATTTCTAAACCCCAAGACTGTGCTTTTAGTTTAGGATGGTGTCACCTGGGATCTGCATTCACATCACACACGTACTGCAATATAGGGACCAAGATACAGCCTCATTCCCCTCCCCACTCACCTGGGCAGGGCCCAGGGGCTGGCAGCTGCAGCTCTGTCCGCTGCCCACAGATCAAACCCACACATGCATTTAATGCATCAATAACATGTAGGGTAATTTCTTGATTAGTTTTGGGTAGCATCTGTGTTTCTGAAGCTGCACGAGTGTGACAAATGGTCGGGGAATAAGAGTCTTCTACAACATCAGCAAACTGCCCCCCTTCACCCCACGCCACCCCAGCAAACAAAACAAATGCCCCACACCTCGAGACATTTCGGTGCCTGAATTATTAATAAAATAAGCATGATAATGAATAATCTATGTTAAGCATTTTCTTACCCTTTATTTTTTCATTATGATCAGAAGAGGAATATGATTAACAGCAGTTTAAAGTTTAGCAGTACAATTTCAGTATTAAATATAAAACTACACTGCAAGTTGATGTATTTTAAAAATGGTTATGTATACTCTAGCCTTAAATCTATGTATCAAATACAAGTATCTCAATTGTTTCTTGCCTTGACAATTAACATATCTAACAAATTTCAACAAGCCAGACATCCATCTTTTCCATTAAAAAAAAAATAAGCAAGCACACCAACTCTTATTCATAGCAAGGGGGTGTAAAGATTCAACACTTTCCTGAGTGTTGTGCAAAGAATAACAGGTTCGAGAAACTCAGTTAAATAAATGTAATGATAAACCTAAAGCTAAGCTGGAGGACCTTTTGATTAACTTCATATTTCATATATTATTTGTATCAGTTGAGAGCAACATGAGTTACAGAACTTCCATGAAAACAAGCCACTTACAAGCAGGTGGTTAAGCTTGATCAGTTTATTAAAAGGATTATATGACACGGTTGCCTGCAATAGCAGGGGACTGGATCTGATGACCCAGGAAGTTCTTTCCAGTCCCATGTTTCTAAGCCATGCACCAAGTGTATCCAGCCCACACTTTCACATTTGGAAAAAGCCAAAGCCACACACACACTCACAGAGGGGGGGGGCGGGGGGAAAGGCCTTGATGACATTGTATAATTTCTCTAAATATTCACTATGCAGAAGGGAACAGAGCTAAAGTCCTGTACAGAGGATACATTTACTCGAGGTTGATGTGGTACTGAAGTCAGTTAATAATTAGATACCTCCAGGCAGATTCAGTTACAGGGCATACCAACACTGCACACTGCCAGACAATTTCTAATCGAGCCAAGAACCTCTTGCAGGAATGAGGTCTCTTTGCTAGCAAGCACAGAGCACACTGAATAAGCTAAAAGCAGCTGTTCTTAAATGAACTACCCTACCAACCATGAGTGAATGACAGATAGATGGTAAAAAGCATTTACCTACTAGACAAGATCTCTCTGCACACTCAGGCAGAATTAGCTCAGAGCAGCAACCATTGCTCCTACCTTGCCTGTCTCTTTGAGTACGTTCTCTTTAAAAGCTGGTCTACAGAATCAGTGCAGCCTTTCTCAAGCACTACCAAAGTAGCAGTTTGCAGCTGCCATGCAAGACTTTACTTTCAAATGGTAGTCAGATATTCCCATCACAGTGGCCAGTTTGCTAAGACAGCATACACAGCCATAGCAAAAAGCCTTTGCAACAACTAGAGATCTGAACAATTGCCTACATTTAGCCCATCTAACTTTAGGCACTTGGTTAAGGTGTCTGGGTCCCTAGTCACCCAGAACTCCCTCCAACCTCCCCAGGGAAAGAAAAAAAAAAAAATAAAAATCACTGAAGGCAGATAGTCTCACCTGCCTTCTGGAGGTGTCTCTTGACCCCCCCTGAGCAAAGCTGCATTTCAAACAACCATGTTCTTAACACAGGCACCTCAGTTAGACAGGATGAATGGAGACTTGCAGCTCTTTCAAGAGATAGTATTAATACTCTCCAAAACCAAAGGCAATTAAGCAATTAAGGTTTGCAACTCCAGTTACCTTTGGAAACAAACTTCTAGTCAAGTAATTAAGCTGTAGTCCCTCCCTCCCAAGCATAAAAGCCTTTCACATGGAGGCTCTGCTATTAAAAAAAAAAAAAAAGCCACCTTCTTGCAAACGAAGAGTGGACACCACTGCTTTGCCACTCATTCATGGGGAAGCTGAAGGACCAGAGAACACTCAGAGACCTGGAATGACTAAGCACTGCTAGTGCATGCAAAGCAGAAGTAACAAGATGGTTTTTAAATTAACCCTAGTCCTCTTCTCCACCCCACAAAATTCATGCAAGTGTTTGAGAAGATAGTCAAGACATAATAGCCCCAGTTTCCAAAAAGGCTGTTGTTTTGTTTTTCCATATTGTCCTTTGTTTTCTTTCTGTGGGTAGAGAAATGCATTTTTGGCATGTTTGAGAATCAGATATCTATGAAATCCATGCTGTTTAGATTCTCCCACTAGTTTCTATAACCTGTCAAAAAAAAAATAAATCAACCTATACATGTTTCCCCAGTATTGACATGCATGCTCAGACCTCTCCACTTTAGTGAAATGAGGTGTTACTTCTGTGCTGATAGTTGACGAGTCAGCATTGCACGACTTTGAGACCAACTAAATTAACATTGTCGTAATATGAAAGGCAAGCACAAGTTCATTTATTTATAGCAAAGGTCTTGGGTTACAGGAGGTCAGTTCTTGCCATCTTGAAAAGATAGGGGATAACTTATTGCATACATGTGCATTATAATTTAGCAGCAAGTCATTCATAGAAACACTTCCCTCCTACTGCTTTTTTGGTTTATTATCTCAATTATATATATATTTTAGCTTTACAAAGCATTTAACACCACCTTTAAGTTAATGGTCTTTTATTGGAAAAAAAGACTAGCATTTACAACTTGGAATGGACATAAATTGTAATATCTTGAACAGCAATGTTGATAGTTGTGCTGAAGTCCACAGGCTACTCCGCCAGCTCCAAGTCATGGTACAGAAGGTTTTAAAAATATGAGAGTCCAAAGATGCTCCCTTGGTGAAGGTTTCTTTTAAAAATTTTGTGAACGGTAACAGCCCGACACCCGTTTCACTATAGTGCAATGCAGACAATGTTAAACCAGTATTTTAACACAGACATGCCATCCATAGTTAAGATCATCGTATTTTTGGAGCACACTGCTACGTACAGGAGAACCATTCAACCTTTAGGGCATTTTCTCTAAGTTTTGCATCCTTCAACCATTTTGCTGCATACCATCCTGAGGTATAAACCAATTTTAAAGTAAACCAGCTATGACAATTTATACTACAAATTGAACTAGAATCCACTGTTGAACAAAAGAGTGGATCCTTTAGGTTGGTTTTTTTTTTTCCTTTTAATACAAATGTCTGACTGTGCTCAATTGTCAAGCTGCATGCATGAAAAACTGGCCAGCCCAAACAGTGTAATAGTCATTAGCAAATGGAACTTTTGAGTTCACTAAGTGCTTCCTTTTTTTTATTTTCAAGGTAGTACAATTATTTATATTGTAAAACTGATGTTTAACTTTATCTCTTGGGGACAGGACCACCAACCATTACATGCAGTTTGTGGACAGAAGGTATTTTGACATTCAGTTTTGCTATACAGAAACAGAATGAATAAATGAACATTTTTTTTGCAAGAGGTAAGTAAAAGATTCAATTTGATTCTTCTAGAGGAAAAAAAGGTGTAAAGGAGGTCTCTTCACTTTGCAGTCATCATCTGTACGAATTCTGAAAAGACAAAAAGTCACTGATTTATCGTCTCCAGAGTACTTTAACCAGTATGTCTTAAACACACTTGGCATAAACAAGCCCTTTCCACTGCATCTAGTTTCTGTCCACAGAAGTGGACAACTGAATAAACTGGTGTCTCAAGTACTACAAATTAACGCCCCATGCAACAGTCTTTCACTCAATCTGAGTAATGGTTTTGAGTCAAGACAAGCATCTTTTTTACCTTCATAGTTGACTTGCCCATCCCCATCAATGTCTGCTTCTCTGATCATTTCATCTACTTCTTCATCTGTTAGCTTTTCTCCTAAGTTTGTCATAACGTGACGTAGTTCTGCTGCACTGATATAGCCATTACCATCCTGTGAGGAAAGAGTTGCACAAGATCGCGATCAACAATCCTGACACTGATTAACTCTTGAAACTACATTTAGGTTTCCAGTAACTGCTTCTGAACTAGCCTTTACAGCACTTGGGACAGAGTTGTACAGACCCAGTACACTGTATAACCCCTACAGCATGTACTAGTCCCACTGCCTTATGAAGCATGCATGCCACCATATCCTTCTACACAGTTATTGTACTGTAATAATAAGTGCATGTCTCATTTGTAGCTGTGATCAGATATTTTAATGCTTTTAAGGAGTTTTCAAAAATAAACCAAGAAACATTTTTTTGTTATCTCTCTGCTGCCTAAGCAATGCAAAAAAAAAACCAAAAAACCAACAAACCACAATTTCCCCACCAGCAAGGATAAAATCAGCTTTCCCTTCCCTACTACCCCTATAGCCAGACTGCAGGTGGCTAGGTCAGGCTTCTTGGATCCAAGATGGTATAGAACAAGTCTTCAAAGAAAAGACACTTAAATTCTACTCATAAGGAGTTGTGAAAAGTTTTGTGGAAGAAAAAAAAAAAGGGAATGACACTTCTAAGTCAGTGTTCCCATTAGCAATCTCCAAACCTAGAGCTCATCCCTAGCCATTTCAGAAATTGTCCTCTTCCATCTACAGGAAGATTATACAAGCTCAGAACAGGAGTTCAGACGGCCATCACAGGCAGACAAGCTACCTTAGTGGCTTTAAACACAAATCTAGTCTGCAAAAATAACCCCATTGGGTAGTAATTGAACATTTCCTCTAGCATCTTTTCCAGGGAAGTACTAGAGAGTGCCACTTTTTTCATAAAAAAAAAAAGTAGTAAGGCCTTCTTCCACACATGCATGTGCATCAGCTTAGCAGCTGCACCAACCACTGCTCAATACAATTCTCTTGTAACATCTGTCAAATTCAAGCAACCCAAAGAGGGGAACTCCTGTTCTAGAAATAATTGACCTTCATCATGTATGCCCAGGTATCCTTAAAGGGGAGTCAAGCTCGTAAGTCTTCCTGAAAGCAACCTCAAAATCCACCTCTTGAAAATGGAACATGCAATACTTCATGCCCCTCTAAATACTGATGACATCATCTTGGCTTCAAAAGCTTCCATAACAAAGTATAAAATCGTGTGGATCCATGCAAACACTTCCCATTCCCCCAAAGTCAGGAGGTACAAAAAATCCCCACCCCTCCATCCTATCCCACCCAAAAAAGCCACCCCGCAAGTACCAAGTTCTGCTCCTCTCTGTTCCTAAAGGAAAGGCCAGAAAGTTTTCCTCATGGATGAGCCTATAGCTTAGGCCTGCTGGGTAAAGCAGGTAGAACCAGCCAGCAACAGTCCTGGTTCTGTTTCCAGAACAGTCTCTGCCCTATTTCCAATTCCTCTGCTTCTACTAGAGGACTTCTTTCCTTACAGACAAGAGAAAACACTGAGGAAAAAAAGAACATCATTACCGCTTCTAAAGAATAGCTGTACTTTTATTAATACCTTGTCAAAGACTCTGAATGCCTCACGGATTTCTTCCTCGCTGTCTGTGTCCTTCATTTTTCTGGCCATCATGGTTAAAAACTCAGGGAAGTCGATAGTGCCATTGCCTTAATGAAAAGAAACTTCCAAAAATTAGACTTCCATGTTTTTCTTAATACAGAAAAAGAAAATCTGGCATTTAATTTAGCTAGGGACAAGATTGACAGATCCTCTGTTAACCATTCTTACAAAGAACTGGACCTTCTCTCTCAATTGCTACCACTGCATTTTTCCTATTGCAATCTGCAGTAGCCGCTGTCACTGCAGTGTTTCAGCACAAAGAAATCAACTGTTGCCTTCTCTCCAGGTCAAGCCATACCTTTTGCAGCCCAAGTTGCAAGTAAAACATCAGTTTGATGCTCCAAGGTTAAACAATACTAATATCTTTACTTCAAATCATTCCCCAAAATTAATTTAGTTTCTTTAGAATCTCCCAACCGCCTGTGGGAAATTCCAGAAGGGAGTGTATTATAAAGCTGGCACTACAAATCCAGCATATCTAAAGTTTGAGGAAATTCCACTTCACTAAGCTACTCATAAATACTTGTTCCTTGTCAAAAATCAACTTCCTTACCAATGTGACATACACCACAAAAGCAATGCACCATTTTAAGGGGCAACAAGGACCTGCAAATTCCAGTGACATGACAAAAGCTGCCATTATTTGGTATTTACAATAAGCTTAGCACTAGGTGTTCTTATAGGTATTTCACTGCGAAACTGAAAATCCCTGGTAACATCCAGTCCTTACCCCTAAGATTTTTAATTCTTCATTCAGAGTGAAGATTCAAACTTCCAGCTGCTCAAAGCTATGAGAAAAGTGGTATAGTGAAGAAACAAGTTCTTTAAAACAGCAGAAACTAGATTTGTATAGTCAGGATTCAGCCCTACTTGCCAAAATAAAAAAACAGCCTCGCATTAAATAGTTCACTCTGCAACTCAGATCTACCCTTTGCTTGAGGGAAACATACAAGCTCACTGGGTAAGCAAAGCAAAGACTCTAAGTACATGCAGTTTAAGAAAACCTTTTCAGCTTAGGGATTCCAGATTGAGACATACACAGCTATTTATCATCACGGCCAGCTTTATCTTCCAGCTAAATCTGAATACAGGTTCTGTTCATTGAGGATTTTTCAAAGCTGAGTACACACAGAATAATAGCAAAGCCTTCTGCCATAAAACAAGTTTAAATAGATGGGCAGGCATACTTATTGGAAGTCCTCAGTCTCCTTTCGTTTTTAACCTATCAGTGTAGCATTGTGGACTGCAGCCTAGGGAAACCACTATACACAAACTCTACATAGTACTGCAAACCCTAAAGTTTTTCAGTATCTGCATCCAAGAGTTAGCAATTAAGGTCAACTATACGCTTTCAGGAAAGTAGTTGTAATGAATGTAGTCCAATAATCAGATAATCTATTCTCTTGCCAATATACTTACACTCTTCTTTTACAGATATACAGAAAAACCACTATCACACCCAACATACAAGATCAAAGCCTTGACATCACTGAGCAGGGGAAAGCATTTTTCCTTTTCATGACTGGTAGTCTGTCTGCAGTCTCAGAAACAAGATGTGCAGTTACCCCTTCTGGCATCCATTTAAAATAATTCTGATAGGGGAAGGTTTTTCTGCTTTTGCCTCCAATCCCTCTGCCGTCTCAGTGATTTAGCACACTACATTAGATTATACAGTCTCTCCCTGTTGTGTTTGCAATTCTTGGAAGTTTAGCACTATTCCACTCCTACCACATTTTTTGGCCTTAGACAAAACCACAGAAATTAGTACAGCTATTAAGACCAACACGGGATGATGAAACATGTATAGAAAAGCTGGGTGGAAACTCAGGTTAACGGCAGGTCAGGGCAAGTCAGATAGCAACAGGAAGCCTGTGACCCATAAATATTAAAGACAGACAGTATACCTTTGACTCTGCCCATCCCCTTTTTTTAGATTCTCACTAATACTGCTAGCATCTTTGTTTGCTGTGCAGAGAACAATCAAAAAATTGACACCTCTGAGTTGATATTCTATCTAGCCTTTTAAAACTGCTTCAAGAGATCAATGTCACAGAATCTTCTCTATGCAGTCCAAGCCCAGGTGTGGAGGTCATACATACATAAGATGATCACAGCACTAATAACAACCCTTACAACACTTACCATCAGCATCTACCTCGTTGATCATATCCTGCAATTCTGCTTCTGTTGGATTTTGACCCAACGATCTCATGACAGTTCCCAGTTCTTTTGTTGTGATAGTACCATCACCATCTTTGTCAAATAGGGAAAAGGCTTCCTTGAATTCTAGAGGCAGAAACAATCCCAGTGTTTAGTAACATCACCAGCATGAGAAGACTGCATTCTAAAAAACGCACTCCCCTGACAATGCCTGGTACGATTTTAGGGAACATTTTACCTAACTAACTATGCATTGAGAGAATCAGCACTCCAATATTAATAAAAAAGTTACTTACAGTACCAACATGTAATTTGCATAGGATATTCAAATTTATTTCATGTGACTATCACCTGCATTACAACTCCATAATGCATTTCACCATCATCTTGCCCGAGGCACAGTCGCACCATGAACAGCAGCTGCTCGAGATAAGTGAAGGGACTCGCAGGGTTCCCTTCACCATTAACAGACTTACAGGAACAATAAGTGTTGTAATTTACCACCCATTTTTAAGGCATACAGTAAGAATTTATGTCAACCACAACTGTGTGGCTGGTCTCCAGAAGGTCAAATAATGATCCTTCTCCTAATGAGCCTGAATTACAGACACTCTGATAGAAGGTATTTAAAAGACACTGGCTCATATTATGTGTAATAAATCCATTTTAGGTTTATTTGCTGCCATTTCAACTTTATTTTCATTTTATTAAAAAGAAAAAAAGAGTACCTAAGTCTGCTTTGACTTCAAGAAGTTCACTTAAATCTAGCAATTATTTATGTTTGCAAGAAATCTAGAAGGACTTGGCTCAAGTCTGAAAGTCTAAAAAAATCATTATCTGTAGTCCAATGAACAAGCAGTCTAAATTAAGAGGCAATTAACCAGTAATCTTCCAGAATGGTTTTCTTTTTAGTTCTTTTTTAAAAAGTGTTACAGACTTTTATATTGTCAAAAAGTGTTTCTTCCCCCATTATGTTTGAGAACTTTTTTTTTCAGTCACAAGAACTAGCAAAAAAAAAATCATTTATCATCAAGACACTTACCAGCAATCTGTTCTTCAGTCAGCTGATCAGCCTACACAAAGAACAGAACATTTTAGAATATTGTTTACCCCTAGCTATGTCAAGGCACAACATACTTCTTTCAGATTTCAGTCATGATTTACCATTACTTTTACAAAGCCACTTTCAACCCCTGGAATTCTGCCCCCGCAAGGAGATTCCACTCACCTATACCACACATCCATTTCCAAAAACGTGTAAGCTAACTTGTTTTGAAACCGCACATGAAGAACCAGACTTGCCATCCTTTGACTCAGAGAATCTGATTTGGTCAAGTGACAGACACAGGGCAGTTCCTCGCAATTGGTCAGAGAGGCATGAAATCCTTAGTGACATGTGTTTGGGGTTTCACATCACATCAGATGTCCTTTCCAGCAGTATAGTGACCCTAATACTGCGTGGGGCATTTGCACATTAGTGAGCTAATGACAAGTGTGCCACCTAGTGATCCAGCACTACTCAAGTCTGCCCTCCCCCACTGCATTGCATCGAGTATTAGCCTACTGTAAGCTTAACAGAAAGGACTGTGCTGCGATATTAGGAGGAATTACTACTCAGTATTATGGAGATTCTTGCCATCTCTGACAAAGAAAATACCAGTTTTCAAGCGTTGCGTTATTTTTCCATTCATCCAGTTTAAAGCACCTTCCACCAACATGTGGGCTGTTTTATACAAAATTTTAAGTGGCAAGATTTAAAATGCTTGCCTGTGACCTTCTGCACATCAAGAGGTCACCGCTGCATCCAAAGGTATACAGCTCAGTGGCCAACTAAATGGGCTTTCCCAGATCTTAACTGTGCTAACTGCATCCTTCCAGAAGCCTCTGCTTTCTGTATGCATAGAGCATCACAAAAAGCTCCACTGTTTGGACTCAAAGAAGCTAACCAGTTCTTTATGGACAAAATATGCATTTTCACAAAAAGAAAAAACACCTGGATTTCACACACCTAGTCATAAATCCTGGAGAACACAAGATACTAACTCCTTTTAAACTGATTCTACTGGACAGCTTTTACTAACAGAAAAGAGAATTTTGTAGGTCAGAAGAAGCAGGCATCTTGTAACCCTTCGTCCTAAAACGCCATTATTCAAGTATAAAAGCTATTTAACTAAAGTAAAGAGCAAAAAATAAAATAGAGAGTTAACATGCTATGCTATACAATCTGTTAAGCCCTTGCACAGGGGAATACGGTAGGGTTGAAAGCCTGCAGTATATGTTAAATGACAGATTTCACCTGTAAATAGGTGTTAGGGTTGGGCGGGTATTTTTTAATGTCTGTATGTAACAATTAATCAATTCCCCATATGCACAGTGGGTTTGAGAGGGGGAAGGAAGGGCAGAAATGCTAAGAACTAAAGAGAGAGTTCAAATTTAATGTCATCCTCAATAACAGCAGAAAACTTGTATTCAAAATCCAGTTTGACCCTCTTTGTGATTTTCCAGAAAATACTGTGTTTTACTTAAAGATTATCTGAGGAATTTACATAACAGACTCAATGCCCTGCAGAACAGGAAACAGAGCCACACCTCGGCAAAAACCTCCAACCCACAGCACCGGCTCATCACCCCATTAGTCGGAGCTCACTGGATGTTTCTAAAAATCGGATTTCAATTAAAAAAAAAACCAAAAAACCCACAAAAAAAAAACCCAAAAAGACCCCAACCTCACACACACCGCAACGCCAGAAGCACACAACCCGACCCTAAACTGCCATGGGGTTCATCTTTGCGAGCAACAGGCACAACCTCTGCCTGCTCTCCCGAGCTACAGGACAAAGGTACCCAAGGCTGGAGCCATCACCCCACCCTGCCAAGTCATCAAATCCTGTCCTGGTGATGTCAGCCTTCCCCGACGGGAAGGGGAGATGGAGAGACACAGCCGAGGAACACCCAGATTGCCAAAATGCGATTAGAGGTCAGCCTGCAACTGTTCCGCCGCTCTAGGAAGTGAAAAACCACCGGGAAAATCCCAGCCCTTCCTCTCGCCCTC